TTTTGTTTATGTTGGTATTTATTTTATATTTCTATTTCTATTTATTTATATATACCAATATTTATATTGGTATTTACTGTGTTAGAAATGAAAATGGACAAATTTTTAAAATTAATTAAAATAACAGCCTATTACATGTTTAAATAAACAACATTTGAGTGAAAAATAACTATATTTTCAAAAAATCATAAGAGTGACATTGTTTTAAATTTAAAAAAAAATCTCTTTAATGTCTGGCTTATTAGAAGGTAGCTGGATTCTTGTGTTTGCTTCAACATCCAATCTGTTGTGATGTGTTATTTTGGTTAAAGTATATGGGGGAAATGGCCTTACAGATATGTAATTGGGAAAGAGAGATAAGAATTTTAATAGACAAATGACATCTTAGTATTATTATGAAATTAATTTTGGCCTCGTGGACACCCTGAAAGGTTCTTGGGGTCCCCTAGGATCCCTAACCTTTGGGATAGTTGATAGCCCAACTTAAGTCAGGAAGAAGTGAATTCAGATCCTGCCTCAGACAGTTAACTAGCCATGTGGCCTTCAGCAAATTGCTTAATGTCTTTATACTAAAGTTTTCTCATATATAAAATGAGAGGCTCGGACTTTATGGTCTCCAAAGTCCCTTCATCCTCCAAATCTATGGTCTTATTATCTTACTTGTGAAACCTACTCTTCACACCCCTGTTTCTGTTGAGGGAAACACCATCTTTTCTAAGTTCACAGTCTTATGGTTATTCTTGGCTTTCCTTTTTCCCTCAATCCCCATATCTGTTCAGTTGTCATGTTAAAAAAAAAATCAGCTGTCACAATTTATCTCACATTATTGTCTCTGCACCCACACGGCTATAGGTCTAATTCAAACCTTCCTTCCCTTTCACTTAAGAGTTTTAAAGTTTGTTGTTGCAAACCCAGGGCCTAGAACAGTGACTGGCTCGTAGTAGGTGCTTAATACATTCTTGTTGAATTGAATTGGATCTTTTGTCTTTAGTAAATTGTTTACAGGTTTTTTTTGTTTGTTCGTTTTTGTTTTTTAAGCTAAGGCAAGGACACATAAAATAATTTCCATTAACATTTTCTTAGGGTACCTGTGTGACTGTTGTTTGGTGTCCTTATTGTGTTTCTCATGTGAAAGAGATTTCAATTTAGAGTCTTGTGTTAGTTGTGTTGGATAACATCAGACTGTTATTATGGAATAGTATATTTTCCCCTATTTCTTGTGGACTTTGTGCCTGCCAAATCTGCTTTTGCAGATACTTATCCTCATTTCTTAGTTTAGCAAAGGAAAATATGGCATATGTTTTTTTTTCTAGTTGTGCTCTGTTATCAACATTTCTATGTTCCATTACAAAAATGGAGTAGTGCAAAGTAGGGCATCTTGAAACATGAACATAATTAATTTCTATAGTTTCTCTTGCCTCTAAACTTCAGCCTTATTTACTCTCTTCCAGGATCTTGAAGGCATATATGTAATAGAGAAGGGTTTGCTTCCTTAAAGATTTTGAAAATCGCAGAAATAGGAGGGACCAATTTGTAATAAGCATTGCATAGCTTTTCCACATTGTATTATAAATATGGCTAATCAGCCAAATTATAAGAGAGAGAGAAAGACAGTCATGAGAGACAGAGGAGGGGGAGTGGGGGGACGGAGAGAGAGAATGTCAAAATGCCATAATATGTTGCAGTTTGAAAAACTAACCATTTGTACCTCCCTTAATTTTTTTGTAATAACTTGGGATGTCTCACACCTACTAATTCATCTTATTAGAAAGTGTCTTGTATAATTTAGATTTTTTTCTTAAACACAATAAAACAACATTAAATGTAGTGAAACCTCCAGACTCCATTATTTCAGAATTTATCTAATGACTTTAATACTGGCTTGACTGAATGTTACTATTGTATTAGCAGAAGAAAGTGTTTCCTAAGCAAGTTAAGTATCACCACTCCACCCCCATTCTAGGGGTTTAACTTTGAGAATGAATTGGTGTCAAACACTTTGGAGTCAACAATTTGCAATTTAGCGGTAAATGTTCTAATTCCTAATATACATACAGTCCTTAGAACACACTTAGCTGAAGGACAGCTTTTGCTATCTATTGTTTCTATAAATATTTAAGTATTTGAAAGTGACAGAACTTAATTCCTTAAAATTTTTTAAAAAAACAGACTTTTCATTAATTTATATCCTAACCATTAGTTAGTCCAGATCAGTGCTATATTTTGGTACTTAAAATAGAGATGGATAGGAAGAGAAAAATAATAGTAATTGGGCAATAAGAAAAAAAAATTGTTTATTCTGCATCAGCTAAATAATTTACAAATTTAATTTACGATTAAAAATGTAAAACCATTGGAAAATGCCAACTGTTCCCATATTAATACATACATATATGTGTATATGAAAAGCCTCTTCAGAATGGGAGAGAGAGGCTTAAAACATAAACAAACATTCTTTTTAATTTTATTAAATCTAGCTCTCCCAAAACAATGATTTTTAGTCTTTTTGGCTTTTTAACACCCTATCGTTGATTTCATAACATCTCTGAATTTGTCTTCAAAGTGCTAAATGCATGATTTATTTGCACGTGTATGTGAAGTAAATAAAAATTAATTTTATTTGGGGAAATTTTTGAGAAATTTGCAGTACTCTGTGTGAAATAATTGGAAGGCACTCTGTGGCACTATTTGGAATCACATTATCCCAATGAAATATTTTTATTTATGAATATTACTGACTTTCTGTATTATGCGTAAGTATTATACAAGATATATTAAAGACATTTTCTGCTCAGGCAAGCCATAGATCTCTGTCTGGAGCAAGAGTGGCGATAAGATATTTTTTAAATATCCAACTTGAATTTGAGACATTGCAAATGACAGTGAATTTGAGTTATATTTATTTGGTTATTTTATTTATTGTTTCTTTTTTACTCTTTATATCCTCCTATTGTTTTAATTAGTCTAAGGCTTAAGCATCTAGAATTTCTGTTGTCATGACTCTAAGAGTCAAGGGCAAGAGCAACATATGTTAGCTTTTAAAGCAGGTGAATTATTTTATAAAACCATATTAAAAATAACATCACTGCACCTTGTCATTTTTATATTGGATTCACTTCCAATTGTAATGTTAGTATCTTCCTGCCAACTTCCAACTGAAAACCTGTAATTCTGACAGTTTCACTATATCGAGACTCCAAAAATCTGGCATAATCATTATCACTAGTTTCAAGTTGTATGTGGTTTTGCCTGAAAGATGTAATGAAAGAAAAATTCTTTTGTGATGCTCGGTAAAATATTTCATGACTTTTCTTGTCTGGAATTTCTCCATCGAATGAAATTGCTAGAGAGAGGGCTTCATCTTCATAGGTGAGTCCAGGCCTCCTCTAAAAAAAACAACAAATTATCTTTTGATTGGGAAAAAATGATGGCTAAAAACTGTAGGAATTTTATCGGGAAAGGCACTACATAAAGTACAATTACTGTACATTGTATTTCATTCATTAGTAACTTGTACTCTGGGCAAATTATTATTACTGTTTTTGTATAGTGTTCTTGTTAGATTCAAATGAATTAATGTATGTAAAGCTCTAGCAATAGTCAATTGCTAGTATAGTTGTTATCATTACAAAGTTATCTTGTCAGTGTCCAATTTTAATGAAATCAAATTAAACCATGGGAAAAGAAAATATTTTTTTACTATAAATAATTTTAATGAGTGCCTCAGTGTACTGCATATAAATTTTATTAACTAGAATGCAAATACATGCTGAATTGTTATCAGATGTGTACCTGCTAGTCACCACAGGAGGAAATTTTTGACTTTTCTGTGCTATCTATAACCCTTAGGCAGCAGCCTTGCCCATATTGTGGCGAGGTGATGATTTTACTTGTAGGTGGCTCTTCAAGTACAGTGCCAAGTTGTATTGTCTGACTGACAGGTACAGTTACATGCTTGGGAACCTCAATAGATCTGGGATTTTTTCTTCCAGAACATTTATTAACATAGTTAGAACTCCTGAAGAAAGTTAAAGGGACTTCATTATCGGCATTATTTAGTTTTCAATCCCTAATCTGATTTAATGTGTAGTACTTTGGAGAGTCTGAAGCTAATTGGAACACAGTAGTTTGTCTATTCCATCTCCTGTACCCCAAGTTCCCCCCCATTTTTTTTCTTGCATCATACCCTGAAGCATATTCAGGGGAGAATGTGAACGTTAAAATATAGATATTACAAATGCACTTGTGAATTTTCATTAAGATATTTGAGTGTGAGTTTTTGATTTAGCTGTTTTTATGTTTATTGTTATATGGATGGCTGTTTAAAAAATTCAGTTTAATTTAGATCTTGGCACTTGATGGCTTCGCAAGAGAACATACTAGCTGATGATTTAGTATGAGAATTACTTAGCTGACTCATTTCTTAATCTCTTGTTTAAAATATCTTAATTGAGAATAGGCTTTAACTGGTAGAAGTTATATCTTAAGAATGTATGAAGACAGAAACTTCGCCATGTGAAAAAATGCAGCCTCTCAAGTAACTTAAATATTTGTAATTTCAAATCAGTTCTTCCTTAGTTTTTCTTATTATTCTTTTGTTGCCTTTCATCCTATAGGGTACAGCTGCCCTTGAACTTCGTAGTTTTTGATCATTCATGTGCAGCCATCAAATTGTCTGTAACATTTTAAAACTGAAGCTTCATGGTGTTTGTGAAATAATTTCATATAAATGTTTGGACTTTGGTTTCTTTAGAATGTGATGCTGGTTGCTGTATGAAGAAAAGCATAATTATAATTCACAGACTTTTTGCCTGAAGCCTATAGGACAGATGCATCTGATTAACTTTGGTGAAACTGGCCTGTTATTGTAATGTAGATGTTTGCAGGGTTGGGAGGCTATTTTAAAAGGCATGCATGATTTTTTTTAAAGAGACAGTGAACATTTTGCAACAGATATTCTACCTCAGACTGCTTCATTTTTGCGAAATTTTATTTTCTAGTGGGACTTCTCCATTAGCCTGTCTGAATGCAATGCTTCACACCAATACTCGTGTAGGGGATGGGACATTCTTCAAAATCCCTGGGAAATCAGGACTTTATGCTCTTAAAGTAAGTTGGATTCTTCTGCAAATTTTATCTGTTAATTTATGAATACATTTTTACTAATTTATAAGAAAATAGAATAGAAACAAAATTAGAGTCATAGAGAGGAGCGTAGTGTATTAAGCAGGCATTGACCCTAAAACTTAATCATTTTCATATGTTTTAGAAAGCAATTGCAAATGAGAATAAGTTGACACTTTATTTTTCAGGAAGAGTATCTCAGTTCTTGGTTCTGACATATGGCAAAAAAAAATTGTTTCTTGAAATGTTTTTATTTTTTCAGAATTCTAGGTGGGAAGTTCTTGGATTGTAAGCCACTTCATGATGATATGTTGTTTGTGAAAAAAAAAATTAGTTTTTTAAAATTTGAAAATAGGATGATCCAGAGGAAATAATAGTAATTAAATCTGTAGACTTTATAGTAAGAGTGGAGTAATTGAAAAAGAACACAAGATACCTGAAACTTAATTATTTCAACACCATCAATTTTCTTTTTCATTAAAAATCTAAGTTAACTAGAATTCTTTTGGCAAAGTCTTATTGCCTTTTTTTTTTTTTGCTTTAATGGCCTATATTTTGAAAGAGTAAAATCGGTGTGACCTTTATTACTTACAATTTTAAAAGGCAAGATTTTCCCTTAAAGGTTGATGGACAGTATTTATAATTTATTATCTTATCTTAACAAGATTTTTATTTTTTAAAAAAACTCATCATGCTAAAAGATACTTTTGGTTGTTATCCAGATATTTTCTCTTGGATGCTGAATACCAGGCTGTAGTCATTATATTGGAATTTTTTTAAAATTACAGGGTTTTTTTTTAAAGGAGTTTACTTACTTGTTTCTCCTTTACAGTGAGTAACCTGGGCATATAGGTCACTGACTAAACTCTAGAATCTTTTAACAATTTTTTTTTTTGGCACAGGGAATGAGGGATAAAAGAAGGAATACAAAATAAATTTACTTTGTGTATATGTATGTTGGAATAGAGGCACTTAAGTTATAAATAGGTGATCTTTTAATTTTTCGGAAGTCATTATCAGTTGTTTTATTTTCAGTTTTTTTTTCTCTTAAGTAATGACTGTTACAGATGAAGGTAATTACTATTGAAATTCAAAATCGTATCTTGTGATAATTTACTGTACATATTTTTAAAATATTATGAATATTTTGAGTTGCTAATTTGTATTTTTTTTCCATTTCTCTGCCTTATGCTGTAGAAGGAAGAATCTTCATGCCCGGCTGATGGGACATTGGATTTAGGCTGTGAATCAGAATTAGATGGCACCGAAATGGCTGAAGCAAACAATAGTAATGGAGAAGAAAATGGAGGTAGGTGTGAAGAATTTCAGGAAATGTGACCTTGTTCTGTTATGTATTCTACTTGTTTGCAATTATAATAATTTGTTGAATATGTTTCAAAATGGTAAGATTTAGTAAAGAAAAATTTTTTTTCTATATCCTTACATTTTAAATGTGTGCTTAGTGCATGTTCATGAAGAGGTCTGAGCACTAAAAGGGGTAGTCTGAAGGATAGAGAGGGTGTGTGTGTGTGTGTGTGTGTGTGTGTGTGTGTGTGTGTGTGTGGTGGTTATTTTTCTGGGAAATTATATTTTTTCCTGCAGTGATGTAGGGTTTCTAGTGGATCAGTTATGGATGAAAGCTAAAGAGAGCGATGTTCCACCTTTCAGTCTGCTGATTTTCTGTGTGACCCTGCGTGGGTTACGTAATCTGAAATGAAAAATGAATGCTTATTTTTTAAGACACATTATGTTCTTGGTTGCCTTACTAAGTAGAGTATTAAGCTCTTTCATTTTCTGTATTGAACCATTTTTTTAAATCAGTGACTGTGAAGAATAACTAAAGTATTTATGCTTAGAATTCTAAGATAAATGAAGTTATAACATTGAAGACTTTTGTGTTATTTTTATGCATATAATGCATGGCATAGAATAAATGCTTAATAAATACTTGTTGACTACATGCTGGTATTTTGTACAGTTGTCCTACATGTGCAGCTTTACTCTCTAGGCTCAGTCTGCTTTCCCATCAGTAGGCTCAAAAGGATGGTTTGGGAAGAGAACTGTGTTAGCATAGTCGCCATGACTATTAATTAAATTTAAAAGCCTCATTTGAGCATTACACTGAAGACATTACATTTTATTAAGTATAACAAAAGACCCTTTGTGGTCCTTAAACTAAATGGGTGCTCTCATGCTGGTGTGCTTTTTGATAATCTTTATGAGGCTCCTGGTAATGGTTGTCAAGTAGTCCTCTCCATGGCTAATACTACAGAAGTTCTCCAAGTTCTTTCATTAGAAGCCTGAAGACATGCTTTATATGTGGAGTTTTTCTTACCATCGCACCTGTGATCAGGATTGGCTGTCACATACTATCTGAACACTCATATTATTCTAGTTACTATTTGGACCAGGATAGACTGCTGTCACATAGAATTAGGGAGACAACAACAGTAGCAGAGATATGTGTAGCAGTCTATGATTTCTTGGTGGTTCAGTTGTGGTGACAGGAAATAGATTTTTATACTGAATGATTAAATATAAAAATAATTTTTGAGGGACCACTCTACTTGAAACTTCTGTCAGGGCTAGCTGTGGTATTGTGGCAAGGACACTGTATTTAAAATCAGAGGATATGGGTTCTAGTTCCAACTTTGCTATTTGCTACCTTTGTAATCTCAAATTACATTACCTTTCTAGGATTCACTTTCCAAATCTGTACATTGAACAGATTTGGTTAAATGATCTCTAAGGTTGTTTTAAATCCTGGTTCCTGTGAACCCTTAGCCAAAAGTCATATTTTTTAATTTCATGTGAAATAAAACATATACTCATATATACCCAGACAAAATGACTATAACTAGTTTACCCAAGAATTTTCTTTTCCCATTGAATTTCTTTGGGGGAGAATAGAAAGCAAGGGGCAATAGTACTATTCAGAAGAGTAGTTTATTTACTGAAACACTTCTAAATCTTCTCCCTTTTACTTCTGGCAGCAGACCACATTGCTCCTTTTTGGGCAGTATGCTTCCTGTCTACTTAGGCAGTACACAAAACAGGATTTACTTATTGTTGCAGTGGTAGGAGGCATTTGCAAACAAAGGCATTTGTAGGAAATTAAAGAGACAAGGTCATGATGGCTTCACAAACTTCCATTTCTATAGGCAAGATAAAGTTTAGTTTTAGATGAATACATAGATAGACAGATATGTATCTCTGTATATAGATTTCCTGTCAGCTCTCTCCACTCTTTCATCATATAATATTAGTTCACATTTATGTGGTACTTTTAAGATTTGCAAAGAAATTCGTATAACTTTTCATTTGATCCTCACAACAATCCTGTGAAATAGGTGCTACTATTATCCTCTTTCTTTAGATGAAGATGAAATTCAGTAATATACCCAAGGTCACCTAGCTAATAAGCATTAGAACCAAGGTTTGAGCCCAGTTCTCCCTGCCTCCAAATCAAACACTATCTACTCTGCCATGATGTCTCTCCATAACTAAACTACTCTTCCATGATGTCTCTCCATAACCACTCTGCCATGATGTCTCTTCAAAAGAGGAATGGGAGGGAGAGTAAAAGTATGATGACAGATGGTGATTTGCTGATCTATATACTGCTCCCTTATTCTTTCCTAAGTATAACTCTGTATGTTTACTTTGGAACAATAATTTCCCCATTCCTTTAGTTAGTTATATGTAGCTGAAATTATTACTTAGTTCAGCCTATGAAAACACATCAGGAAATAATTATTAAGCACCAACTGTATTTAGAGCAAGCTAAGATGCTGTTCAGTCATTTTAGTCATGACCAACTCTTTCTGACCCCATTTTGGGGTTTTCTTAGAAAAGATATTGGAGCGGCTTGCCATTTCCTTCTCCAACTCATTTTACAGATGAGTAACTGAGGCAAACAGGGTTCAGTGATTTGCCCAGGGTCACCCAGCTAATAAGTGTCTGAGACCAAATCTGAACTCAGAAAATGAGTCTTCCTGATTCAAAACCCAGTGCTCTATCCACTGTGCAACCTAGCTTCTCAAAATGCTAGATAATGAGATACAAAAGTTAAGTAAGACACAGCCCTTACCCTTATGGCACTCACTCTTAAAAAGCAGATGTTTTAAAATTTGTAGAGATTTATGCATATTATTTCTTTTATATATATTATTTGCCATTATTACTGAGTCAATTAACATTTATTAAGTACCTACTATATACCAAGCATTGTGCTAAATACTAGAGATATTACAGCAGAATGGAGAGCCATTCCCTTTTCCAAATCAAAGATCAATGTTTTTTTTAAAAAGTGGCACTAATGAACCTGACCTGGTGAGCCTTCTGTAACGGTGCATTTTTTCAGCAGAAAATTGCTAAATTTTAGTTCTATGTGTTTGGCTCAGATAGAATGCATGGAATTAGAATCAAAAAGATGTGAGTTTGAATCCTGCCTATGACATGTACTAGCTGCATAAATGGGCACAAAGTCACTTAAAGTCTTTGAGCTTCAGTTTTCTCATCTGGAAAATGGGAATAATAATACTTGTAGTAATGTCTAAATGCTGGGATGCAGCTTCTAAGATTTTTCTGGGGTTTAAATGAGGTGAATGAATGAATGAAAAGATGAATGAAAAAGTCTGTAGTAAGTGCTATGTGCCAGATATTTTGCTAAGTTCTTAGGGATACAGTATACAAAAAAAGAAAGACAGTCATTGCCATAAAGGAGCTTACATTCTAATAATATAACCTACTCAGCCAGCTGCAGTCCTTAAATTAAGACTTCTCCATCTTGTCCCCAGGAACCTCATCATTCATCACACCAGTACCCTTAGTACCCTCTGCCTCTGTGAGTAGGGTGTAGGGAAGAACTCCCCCCAAAGCATCCAGTAAGGGGGATGTCCAGGCCAGTCAATTCTTCATTTCTAACTGGCTGCATTATTTGTATTTATTCATCATGCCCTTCCCTTCTCTACCTTTCCCTCTTTCATCTTCCTTTTGTGTATTATTTTTCCTCATTAGATCTTAAGCACATAGAGTGCTAGGACTGTCTTTCTTCTTATTTGTATCTCTAGTATTTAGCACAGTGCTTGGTATATAGTAGGTACTTAATAAATGTTAATTGACTCAGTAATAATGGCAAATAATATATATAAAAGAAATAATATGCATAAATCTCTACAAATTTTAAAACATCTGCTTTTTAAGAGTGAGTGCCATAAGGGTAAGGGCTGTGTCTTACTTAACTTTTGTATCTCATTATCTAGCATTTTGAGAAGCTAGGTTGCACAGTGGATAGAGCACTGGGTTTTGAATCAGGAAGACTCATTTTCTGAGTTCAGATTTGGTCTCAGACACTTATTAGCTGGGTGACCCTGGGCAAATCACTGAACCCTGTTTGCCTCAGTTACTCATCTGTAAAATGAGTTGGAGAAGGAAATGGCAAGCCGCTCCAATATCTTTTCTAAGAAAACCCCAAAATGGGGTCAGAAAGAGTTGGTCATGACTAAAATGACTGAACAGCATCTTAGCTTGCTCTAAATACAGTTGGTGCTTAATAATTATTTCCTGATGTGTTTTCATAGGCTGAACTAAGTAATAATTTCAGCTACATATAACTAACTAAAGGAATGGGGAAATTATTGTTCCAAAGTAAACATACAGAGTTATACTTAGGAAAGAATAAGGGAGCAGTATATAGATCAGCAAATCACCATCTGTCATCATACTTTTACTCTCCCTCCCATTCCTCTTTTGAAGAGACATCATGGCAGAGTGGTTATGGAGAGACATCATGGAAGAGTAGTTATGGAGAGACATCATGGCAGAGTAGATAGTGTTTGATTTGGAGGCAGGGAGAACTGGGCTCAAACCTTGGTTCTAATGCTTATTAGCTAGGTGACCTTGGGTATATTACTGAATTTCATCTTCATCTAAAGAAAGAGGATAATAGTAGCACCTATTTCACAGGATTGTTGTGAGGATCAAATGAAAAGTTATACGAATTTCTTTGCAAATCTTAAAAGTACCACATAAATGTGAACTAATATTATGTGATGAAAGAGTGGGGAGAGCTGATAGGAAATCTGTATACAGAGATACTCATCTGTCTTTCTATCAATGTATCCATCTGTCTGTCCATTGATATAGGATATATACTCAGGTGGTCACAAGATTTGTTGATGTTTACTGCACCATCAAGGGAACAAGGAGAAAGGAAGTAGTTCTCAAGTCTGCAAGCAGTGGCAAGACCAGGAGTGAGCTTTTACTCTTAGTTGTTTGGTCACAATGGACTTGCCTGGAGCAAAATTA